GATCACTAACCATGAGATCATCACCTGAGTCAAAAGTCCAGAGTCAGACACTCAATTGTCTGAGCTACTCAGGCATCCCAACTCAAAAAAAAATTTTTTTTAATGTTTTATTTATTTCTAGGAGAGAGAGAGAGAGAGAGAGAGACAGCGTGAGCAGGGGAGGGTCAGAGAGAGAGGGAGTCACAGACTGAAACAGGCTCCAGGCTCGGAGCTGGCAGTCAGCACAGAGCCCGACGCGGGGCTCGAACCCACGAACCATGAGATCATGACCTAAGCAAAAGTTGGACGCTTAACCAACTAAGCCACCCAGGCGCCCCTCAAAATTTTTTTAAATGCTGATGCAAAGCATTCCAGTTATCTATTGTTACATTTAAAAAACCACCCAAAATTTAGTGTCATATAGTAAGAATTATTGCAGGCAAGATCTACTAATGGATGCTAATATTAGTGGATAAAAGTTTGAGCAAAGATATTTGCATAATCTTAAAGTATCTCACCCATGATATTTATTAATTATGAAAGGAAAATTAGTAACTTTACAATAGAGAAACCTGGCAGACATGACCTTAGCCAAGGTTTCAAGGTTATTATCACCAGTAACATCAGACTTGACCTTAGGTACCCTAAGCACAACTGATCGAGACCCCATAACTTCTGGGGTATTCTTGCCAAAAATGCATTACCTGTATCTAATCAAGGGAAAACATCACACATTCTGAAATTGAAGGATATTTTGCAAAATAGCTGACCAGTTCTCTCTAAATGTGTCAAGGCCACAAGAGACAGTGGAAGACTGAGAAACTATCACAAATTAGCAGAGACTAAGAAACTATGACAACCAAGTGCAAAATGGGTTGGATACTAGAAAATAAAAAGGGCATTCCTGGAAAAACTGGTGAAATTTTAAGAAGGCCTATAGCTTAATAGAATTATACCAACGTTAACTTCTTAGTGTTGATCATTGTAAACTCAACCCTTGAACAATGTGGGTGTTAGGGATGCCACATCCCCATGTAGCCAAAAATCCATGTATAATTTTTACCTTCCCAAAAGCTTTACTAATGACCTACTGTTAACCAGAAGAAGACTTACCAATAATGCAAACAGTCTATTAACATATATTTTGCATGTTATACGTATTATATCTTGTATTCTTAAATAGAGTAAGCTAGAGAAAAGAAAATGTTATTAAGAAACTCAAATGGAGGGTACCTGGGTGGCTCAGTTGGTTAAGTGACTGACTTCGGCTCAGGTCATGATCTCATGGTTCATGGGTTCAAGCCCCACGTCAGGATCTGTGCTGACATCTCAGAGCCTGGAGCCTGCTCTGAATTCTGTGTCTCCCTCTCTCTTTGCCCACCTCTCTCTGCTCATATTCTGTGTCCCTCCCTCTCTCTCAAAAATAAACATTAAAAAAAATTTTTTTAAGAAAAGAAAATCACAAGAGACAATGCATTTACAATACTGTGCTGTAAAAAGTCTACGTATAAATGGACCCATGAAGTTCAAACCCATGCTGCTCAAAGGCCAACTGTACTATGGTTCTCCAGGGGAGGCTGGGTAAAGAATAAACAGGAACTCTATGTACTATTTTGAAATTTTTCTGTAAGTTTAAAATTATTCCACAACAAAAAGTAAAAACAACAAAACAAAACTTAGTGGCACAAAACAGTGACTGTTTTATTATGTTCATGATTCTGTGGGTCAGTAATACGAGGGATATGCCAGGAACAATTTCCTATGCTCCACCATGAAGGGGGCCTCAGCCGAGGTGCTGCGCTGGGCTGGGGATATCTGTGGCAGCTCACCTCAGACCGTGTGTCTGGCCTTGGCTGTTCTCTACATGACGTTCACTAGGGATGCAATGTCCCAAAGTTGTTCCTTTTTTCACTTCTCTGTTGCCTGCACTGATGCTAGAAGTCGTTATTTAGTTTCCAAAGGCTGCTGTGACAAGTAACTATGGAATGGATGGCTGCAAACAATAGAAATTTATTCTCTCCCAGTTCTGGAAGCTAGACATCCGTAATGAAGACGTGAGCAAGGCCATGCCCCTCTGAAATCTCTAGGGAAGAATCCTTCCTTCTTCTTCCCAGCTTCCGGTGGCTCCCAGCGACCCTGCCACTCCTTGGCTTGTAACTACATCATTCTAAGCTCTACCTGTATCTCCACATGACCTTCTTCCCTGTGTCATTGTGTCTGTGTCTTCTCTTATGAGAACACCAAACTTCAGATTCAGGGTCCACCTAATCCCGTAAGACTTCATCTTAACTGATCACATCAGCAAAGATTCTATTTCTTTTTCTTTTTTTCCAGTTTATCTATTTATTTTTGAGAGAGAGAGAGAGAGAGAGAGAGTGTGTGTGTGTGTGAGCGAAAGTGGGGGGGGGGGAGAGAGAGAGAGAGAGAGAAAGAGAGAGAGAGAAAATCCCAACCAAGCTCTGTGCTATCAGTGCAAAGCCCAATATGGGGCTTAAACTCACAAACCATGAGATCATGACCTGACCCCAAATCAAGAGTCAGATGCTTAACCAACCAACTGAGCCATCCAGGTGCCCCTGCAAAGATTCTATTGCTAAATAAGGTCACATTCTGAGGCTCCGGGTAGACATGAATTTCAGTGGGACACTAAGAACTCACTATAGGCAGGAACCGGCCAGCATCACTCCCTCCGGGTGGCCTCTCCATATGGCCTGTTTGGACTTTCTCATAGCCTGGCACCTTCAGGGTAATCTGACCCTTTATAGGATGGCTGGCTTTCCTCTGAGCGAGCCTTCTAAGGAGAGAAGCCAAAACTGCCAGTCCTCTTAACCAGTGAGGGCTGGAACTGGTGGTGTAGGATTACTCCTGCTGTAATCTAATCAATCACAGTAGTTCTAGATCAGCCCACACAGAAAATACAGGAAGAAAGAGACTCCATTCCTAGATGAGGACTGGAATGAACATCACAGAGGGAAGGAACTAAGAGACTCCATTCCTAGATGAGGACTGGAATGAACATCACAGAGGGAAGGAACTATGGCAAACATCTTGGAAACAAACAACCATGCAGCTCTGTCCTTACTGACAGCTAAGGGTGCCCATGAGATACAAATTAGTAGAAAACAGATTACAAAACACCATATACAGAATTTGATCTCATTTTTATTTTTAAAATATATATGGATATCTGCATGGAAAATGTCTCGAAAGATAAAGCATAAACAAAAAATATTAATAATGATTATCTCTGCAAGTTAAGAATTTAGGTAATTTTTTTCTTCCAGTTTATCATTATTTTCTAATACAGATTATACATGTAGTATTTCTATTTAAAAAAAAAAAAAAGGGCTCTGGCTCAGGTCATGATCTCCTGGTTCCTGAGTCCAAACTCTGCATCAGGCTCTGTGCTGACAGCTAGCTCAGAGCCTGGAGCCTGCTTTGGATTCTGTGTCTCCCTCTTTTTCTGACCCTCCCCCGCTTGCGATGTCTCCCTGTCTCTCTGTCTCTCTCTCAAAAATAAACAAACATTAAAAAAAAATGTTTTTAAAAAGGGGACACGTGGGTGGCTCCGACTTTAGCTCAGTTCATGATCTTGCGGTTTGTGAGTTTGAGCCCCATATAGGGCTCTATACTGACAGCTCAGATCCTGGAGCCTGTTTTGGATTCCGTCTCCTTCTCTCTCTGCCCCTCCCCCTTTCACACTCTGTCTCTCTCGCTCTTAAAAATAAATAAACATTAAAAAACATTTTTGTAAATAGAAGAAGTAGAAACTAGGTGATCTATGATTGTAACAGGCTAATCATTTTGGGGGGTTCTTTAAATGTGTTTTATTTCTTTTTGAGAGAGAGAGCATGAGTGGGGAGGGACAGAGAGGGGGGAACAGAAGATCCAGGATCTGCACTGACAGCAGCGAGCCCCATGAGGGGCTCAAACTCACCAACTTTCTTAAGTTGAAGTCAGATGCTCAACTGACTGAGCCACCCAGGTACCCTTAGTTTTTGGTGTTTTAATTAAGATATACAAATGGTAAATTTCAGTAAAGCCAATCTAGATATAGACCTATCTAGGAGAAACTCAGACTCATTGTTTTTAAGTCCTTAGTCATAGAAAGGGCAACCCAGATAGGGCACCCCCTTCTTGGGGAGAAATATTTGGTGCATTCTAAACCCAAATCTCTCAGGCCCAAGCAGCTTTTGAGCTCTCAATGCTGAGTCCAAAAAGAAACAAACCTGAAGGAATTTCATTTGTATCAGACGTCATGCTAAACGGCTGCAATAGTCTGAGTCAGGTTCTTGAGACATTCACTTTGCAAAAGACAAATGGATCCCAGGATTCTCAGAGGAATCAGAGGCCCCTGCTCAGAGTCAGTCTTACACCCTGAACAGTACTGGATAACCTTTTACGTGATGCAGGTTAAAGGATTTCCAAAGCTCCCTGCCAAAAAGACTAGCAATTACTTCCCAATCCCTAAAATTTTCACCACTGTACAAGTTAAAGACTACATGACTCAATAACACTTCTGTAGATGAAGGAGGAAGAGAAGATAAAGAAGGAGAAAGATGAAGGGAAGAACGATAAATAGACATACACAAGGTGGGAACGTAGAAACACGCATAATGGTTTGGCTGGTCTCAAAAACAAGACTGTAAGAGAACAGGAAATAGGACCAACCAGTAATGGATTTTTATCTGTGGGATTGCAGAAGCCCGAGTTAGGAAACTACATAGACTGGGTGTCTAGAGGCCTCATGTAGGCACAGGAAGTAAAGGCAAAGACATATTTTGTCTATTTCCCAATTTTTCACTGCCCTGTCCCCTTGCACAGATACAAACCTGAGAAGCTTCTGAAACTTATCTATGCTCAGGAAAGTTCCATATAATCCCACTTAATGTGATCATTTCCCACAGAGAAGAGTTAAACTCACAAAGAAAAGGAAAGAATTGCTTACCTGGGAATTTTACTTTAATCCAAATATTCTATGACTCTGAAGATTTTTTTTAAAAAAGACAAACTTTACTCACCGGCAGTTTCTTCTGATGCAGCAGTCAAAGCGAGAAACTTTTTTGTATTTTCCATCTCCTCACTACTTTGCAAAGCTTCACTAGTTTTTGCAGACTAAGAGAAACAAGAAAAAGAAGATAACTATACTCTTTGATATTTTGTACAATTCCAACATGGATTACCTGAACGAGAAGTTTCAGCCACTTTTATTCCTTTAAATAGGAAATCTATTAGTATTCCTGTTTGCCCAAAATTTTAGCAACGAATATTCCCAAATAGGGTTGTAATATATGTCTATCATTATATAATAATTATCTTGCTTAAATCTTCTTCAGTTTCTGTTTAATACTTCTATAACTAATGAGTAATCTAAAGGTGCCTTGTGAACTTACAGTTTCAGACATTTCAAGATTGAGACTGTATTTTATTATGGGTCCAATTACAATTCTTGTTTTCAAACAAGTAAAAATTTGCTTTGAGATTCAACAGGAATAAGTGATAGGCTAACTTTTTATGACAAAACTTATCAAATCATGTCTCTAGTTTAAATCACTGCATTGCGTATGGTGCTTTCTTTGTACTCCACGGTCTTCCTGAGAATCTTGTAAAAATGTATACTTAATTACTTCATTATTAATGCAGAGTATCATCTAGGGAATTTCCTTGAAGTCAGTCGACTGAGGAAGGAAGAATTTATCAAAAACAACCAATCTGTGATTACAATGTTCCTTACCTTAAAAGTGCTCTCCTTTAAGGGGAAAAGTTCAATATGAGCCAATGGCTATTCATCAAGTCAGAGCAAATATATGGTCAACTTCCACCCTCCATACTACAGACAGTCAAATGTCCAAGAAGGCCAAGGAAAGTTAATCGAGCACTAGAAATGTATTGAGACAGAAGCAAATAGAGCATGGTCACAGACCACAAGCACTTTACAGCTTCTAAGAGATCTTGACCAGCATGTGAAACAGTGAACACCCCACTTCTCGGTCATAAAAGTTTATTTAAAAAAATAACAGCTTTTCGGGTGTGGAGTTTGAAAAGCCATTGTTTTTTTAAGTAAACTTTTATGACCGAAAACTCACCAAACTCCACACCTGAAAAACAAACAACCCAGTGAAGAAATGGGCAGAAGATATGAACAGACACTTCTCCAAAGAGGACATCCAGATGGCCAACAGACACATGAAACGATGCTAGGCATCCCTCCTCATCAGGGAAATACAAATCAAAACAACACTTAGATACCACCTCACACCAGCCAGAGTGGCTAAAATGAGCAAATCAGAGGACTCTAGATGCTGGCGAGGATGTAGAGAAATGAGCACCCTCCTACACTGTTGGTAGGAGTGTAAACTGGTGCAGCCCCTCTGGAAAACAGTGTGGAGGTTCCTCAAAAAAGTAACACTAGAACTCCCCTAGGACCCAGCAATAGCACTGCTAGGAATTTACCCAAGGGATACAGAAATGCTGATGCATAGGAGCACATGTACCCCAATGTTCATAGCAGCACTCTCCACAATAGCTAAACCATGGAAAGAGCCTAAGTGTCCATCAACGGACGAATGGATCAAGAAGATGTGGTTTATCTATACCATGGAATACTACATGGCAATGAGAAAGAATGAAATCTGGCCATGGGTAGCAACATGGATGGAACTTCAGGGTGTTATGCTGAGTGAAATAAGTCAGTCAGAGAAGGACAGCTACCATATGTTTGCACGTATAGGAGGATTAGGAGGAACTTAATGGAGGACCGTGGGGGAGAAGAAGGGGGAAATATGGGGGGAGAAGGAGGGAGGCAAACCATGAGAGACTCTTGAATGCTGAGAACTGAGGACTGATGGGTATGGGGGGGAGGGGGGATGGGCATGGAGGAGGGCACTTGTGGGGATGAGCACTGGGTGGAAACCAGCTTGACAATAAACTATTTAAAAATAATAATAATAATGGCAACCGACGGGTTAAATTTGTGTATATTTATATATTTATCTCCAAACTGTAAGCTTCCTGAAGAAGCAGCAGACCTACATCCTTGATGAACGTAGGGATAGCATCACTTTGGAAGTGCAGCCTGACACTGGTAAGAGAGGTCTACTGCACTGCCAGTGGAAAACAAACAGGACAATGCGGTGCCTGAAATCTGGAATGCTGCAAAGTCACCTCGTCTGGTTCCAGAAAACTACCTCCCTCACGTGCCCACCCCCCACACGTACATATACACACCACCATCCTACTTCCACAAAATAAATCAGTAAAGGCAGACCACATTAATACTATCACAGTCCATGCTTTTCTTACTCCTCTTAGAGGAACTCGTTTCTTCCACTTCGGCATATGGTGAGATGATTCTTACCTTAAGTTCTTCCCACAGCTTTAGTCTCAGGGCTAGACCTTGCTTCTTAACTTCTTTTTCTCGGTATTGTTTCTTCACCAATATTTTATCAAGCTTCTTCATCTTCTGAATGGCATTTTGAAGTTGAGAATCTAATTCTTTTAATTCAGGTTCGTCTATATTGTGTTGAAAGTAGGAATGAGCCTGAAGTTTAGTACCACCATAAAGTTTTGTTTCACTTTACAATTTGTTCTTTCAGTCAACAAATGTTAGTGGCTGGTGAGAATAACTAACACTGGTGTCACATATCTTAATTTACAAGGTGCTGTCACACATATGTTTTCATATAGTTATCTAACAACCCTGTGAAATACAATTATCTAAAATTATCTAACAACCCTGTTTTACAGCTGAAACAACTAGATCTTTTCTTTTTTTCCTTTAAATTTTTTTTTTTAATTTGAGTATAGTTGACACGCAATGCTATGTTAGTTTCAGGTGTACAGCATAGCAATTCAACAACTCTATAACATGCTATGCTCACCACAAGTGTAGCTACCATCTGTCACCATACAATGTTGTGACAGTGTCACTGGCTACACTCCGTATGCTGTGCCCTTTATCCCCGTGACTTATTCATTCCATAACTGGAAGCCTGTATCTCCCACTCCCCATCACCCATTTTGCCCATCTCCTAATCCCTTGTTTCTGACAACCATCACCTTGTTCTCTGTATTTATAGGTCTGATTCTGCTTTTTTGTTTGTTAGTTTATTCATTTTTGGTTTTTTAGTTTGCACAGACAAGTGAAATCATACGGTGTTTGTCTTTCTCAGTCTGACTTGTCTCAGTTAGCATAATACCCTCGAGGTCCATCCATGTTGTCACAAATGATAAGATCTTATCATTTTATGGCTGCCTTATGTTCCTTCGTGTGTGTGTGTGTGTGTCTGTGCGTGTGTGTGTGTGTGTGTGTGTGTGAGAATGTATATCACATCTTTATTCATTTATCTATCAATGGACACTTGAGTTGCTTCCATATCTTGACTATTGCAAATAATACAGTAAATATAAGGGTGTGTAAATCATTTCAAATTAATGTTTTCATTTTCATTAAGTAAATACCCAGTAGTGGAATTCTGATCATATGGTATTTCTATTTTTAATTTTCTAAAAAATCCTCCATGCTGTTTTCTACAGTATCTATACCAAGTTATGTTCCCAGCAACAATACACAAGGGTTCCTTTTAATCCACATCCTTGCCAACACTTGAAAATATCTGGGTCCTATCAAATAGCTAATAAATTACGGTATTGAACTCATAAGTGGGTCTCATCTCATTTTCAATCCTAAAATATTTCTCCTTCATTCTGGTAGACCTTCCATATTCATTAATAAGGAATAAGAAATAGGACAAAGACCTCATCCTAAAACTGCTTCAGACTAAAAAATAAGGCGTGTAGCTATTTGTGAAATCGCTGCCGTAAAATGTAATGTGTCAAGATAGGAAATGATTCCAACATAAAGAAATAAATTCAGAAAACTACTCCATGTAACTAGACACCTTTTATCTATGACTCTCCCTTTTGTTCTATTTTCTTGAAGTACCTAACAATGGATAATTGGTAGTAACTTATTTAAAGCCAAGGCCTCTTTAGAACTTTCTTGACTCAAGTTTTAACTTATGGTTAATAATAATGTTAATAATAGCTGCTAACATTTATAGAATTGTCTGATAGGCTCAGGGTTAAGGGCTTTATTTACAGGCATTATCTCATTTAATCTTCATCATAATCCTGTCAGGTAGTATTGTTATTGTTCCCATTGCAACAAAAAAGTAAACTGAGGCTAATCTGCAACTGAGTTACATACACATCCAAGATGATATAACTAGTAAATGGCAGGACTCGTTTCCACCCAGATCTGTCCGATTTGAAAGCCAAAACTCTTCACCGCCAGGCAATACGTCCTCTGTGAAATCTGATGAAAGATGATGCTCAAATACTAAAGTCTCGGCCACTCCAGGTTAGGTCATTAGAAATGGCATATTATGCTAAGAAAGACCAAACTGCAACTTTATAAAATCCAAGAGTCCAGAGCGTTTCCCTATGATGTATATCACTTCCTCTTTAAGGAAAGCAGATCTTTTCAGAAGGGAATTAGTTTATCCAAAAAGAATACTGATCTTATTGATAAGGAGGCTCTACAGATCTTATAGCTTACATATTTCAAATGCAACAGCCATTAGTTATAATTCCCAACTGCCAATCCTCGCCTTCCATATACAGAGGAGGTCTATACAGCACACAGCTGGAAGTAACTCATGCAGCTCCAAAACAGTATAAATAAGTCCAGTATAAACTAGGTCAACAGCTAATCACAACTATAATGCCTCATTTCCTGATAACTATAATCCTGAGTCACCTGGCCCAACTTTGAGAGCAGATCTCATCCCAAATATACTCTTAAGTCACCATTTCTCAAAGTTTATGATCTCAGCTTCCCTTTACAACCTTAAAAATTATTGAGAACACAAAGGAGCTTTTCTTTTATATCTATTGGTAATTATCATATCGGAAGTCAAAACTGAAAAATATTATATTTATTCATTTAAAAATAATAAACATGTTATTAGTAATTACACGCTAACATAAATATAACATTTTTATGACAAATAACTATATATTCCCAAAAAATTAAGAATGGTGTTGTTTTAAATTTTTAATCTCCAGCTTAACAGAAAACAGTTGGATTCTGAAATCTGCTTGTCTAATCAATCGCAATCTCTAGTTTCAGTTAGACGATATGAAGAAACTCAGGCCTCATACAGATATGTATTTGGAAAGGGGAGGAGAAATTTATTAACCTTCTCAGATTATTTTTTGGATATTCTTCTTTGATACTACATCAAAACTCAACAAGTAAGACTTTCTTAAAGAATGGTTATAATATCAAATATGTAACTATATCAGTGAGCTTTTTGTATTTGTTCCATTAAAATCCATGCATCCATCATTCATGCTGAATAGATCTTTAATCTTCATTGGTCATTTGGAAAATAGTGGTTCACTGAATTATGCAGACCTTCAAAATGTTAACACATTTCAAGATATATCATTTCTTAAAAATCACATTTACTGATATTACCATCAAATTTTATCAGAAAAGTCAAAGTCTTGGAAATCTGTCAGTCTCACATTGGCATACCCAAGTTTTCCAAAATTCTTATTTTTACTTGAAAGTCCAAATTTTATCATTGACAAAAGATACTGTCAATTATTTTCCTTGAAGTAACACACTCATTTCATCTTTTTAAAAAATGGCTTCCAAATACCCAAGTAATGATAATACTTCGTCTATCAGTCATTCTTTCGTGTAAGAATGATGTTGCATTAAAAAGTGGCCAATTCGGTTCTCGACTTAAAGTATCATATGAGTGCCGTTCCTTGATACAAACTTCACATTTTGGTGTAGAGCAGAGTTGCTGTACACATACCTCCCATTTTGCCCACAGGCAATTAAACAGATGTGTATTTAAAGTCCAGATTTCATAAGAGTAATGTTTTTTACTGCTCCACCAAAGACGTTCTTGAGTCACACGGGGTATGCGTTTTTTCTGCCAGTGCCTGCTGCACACTAGGACAGCTAGTACAATGTGATACGCTGCCTTGATTCATGCTAACACACCAGCAATTTTACTCACCATCGCTTTTGTACCATCACTGCAAATGTCCTTTTAGGGGGTGGAAAGGCACATAGCGTTCTTTCAGTATCGTGATGAGTTATATTACTGATATATCAATATTATAGTGAAAGTCATTTTTACTTTGCAAAGTTCCTGAAAGGGTCTCAGCAATCCCCCAGGGCTCTGCAAACCACATTTGGAGAACGTTCTTCTAATTCACCCTGTCCAGGATTAATTTGATAGCCGGGGGGAAAAAAGGAGTCTTTTAAAAGCCAAAAGTTAAAAAAATAATAATAATAAATAAATAAATAAATAAATAAATAAATAAAAGCCAAAAGTTATTAAGATCAAATAGGATTATCCCTTAAAAGGCACTTATAAATTGCAGGATACATTTTATTGTATAGTTGAGTCATCAAAAATATCAACAAATCCTCATAAGATGCATAAATACTTCCTACTTGATTTACATGAAATGATCACAGTAACAATTTTATTAAATGAAAATTGTATCATTTCTCTATGTTTTTGTAAGGACTCATTATTTTTAAAAACTGGTGCTCACAAAGGTATGCCTCTTTTTTTAACTATTTGCTTAGCTGATAAAAAACATATGTAACTCGGGGCGCCTGGGTGGCTTAGTCGGTTAAGCGTCCGACTTTCGCTTGGGTCATGATCTCGCGGTTCGTGGGTTCGAGCCCCGCGTCGGGCTCTGTGCTGACTGCCAGTTCAGAGCCTGGAGCCTGTTTCAGTCTGTGACTCCCTCTCTCTCTGACCCTCCCCTGCTCATGCTGTCTCTCTCTCTCTCTCCTAGAAATAAATAAAAACATTTAAAAAAAAAAAAAAAAAACATATGTAACTCTAATATTTTAACTATAATATCTGTAATTATCATTAGCCAATCACGTGGTCATTATCCTACCTGAAGATCCAGGGATTATCTGATGTTGAACCAAGTTCAGATCTTCATCCCACCCTCCTTCAGCCAATTTTGGTGTCTCAGAGTCGTTTTCCCCTTTATCATCACTATTGTTTCTATTTTCCTCTGCATTACTGCTATCAGAGTGGCCCTTTCCACCAGAGTTCAACTTGATTGCAGTATCAACCTAAAAATTATTTCCAAAAAAATCATTTTCATAAATAATCTATATTTTTACCTTTTTTTTTTTTTTCTGAGAGAGAGAGAGACACCGTGAGCAGGGGAGGGTCAGAGAAAGAGGGAGACACAGAATCTGAACAGGCTTCAGGCTCTGAGCTGTCAGCACAGAGCCTGATGCGGGGCTCAAACCCACGAAACATGTGACCATGACCTGAGCCGAAGTCGGACGCTCAACCATCTGAGCCACCCAGGCGCCCCAATAATGTATTTTTTAAAATCTTACATTTCTAGACTATTTTAACACTAATGTGTATACATGTGAGGACATACATACACACACTAGTATTAAACTATTCTAGAAATACAACTTTTTAATTAAATATAATCTAATTACACAAATTTAATAAAATTTACACCAAAGAGACATGCCCCATTCTCTGGCAAGTTCCAGCGATAATGGAGAAGGGTCAGGAATCCGTCCCAGAGCACCTCTCTGCCAGCTCTGGACATGAGGCACGATGGTCCCTTCTTCCAGAGCTTACACTCAGATGGACAGTCAAAGGTCTAGAGCTGCACTGTCCCATACAATGACCACCAGCCACATGTGGCTATTGAAGAGTTGAAAAGCAAAGAGTCTGAATCGAGATGTGTTTCTAAGGAGATTCTTCCAGAACCAGGTGCTTTAGTAATTATTTTTATGCTATTCACATTTTTTCTATTTCATTTTGGTTTTTCTTTCCATTTTAGGAATGCTCATTTTGAAAACACCAGTTTGGCACAGCTGTTTTCCTGAGAGAGAACAAGAGAAGACATCCACGACTGCATCAGGAAAAAATGGATTATTCATAGTCACCTGACAGCAGTGAGTGGCAGTGAGAGTCACAGTGGAAGTGAACACAGCCCAAGAGAGAGGCAGAACCTCAGAGAGAGAGTCAGCCCTTCTGGAAGGAATACATTTCCACTCCCAATGGAGGAATCCTCTGCTCCAGGACCTTCAGGGCTCAGCCTTTGGAGGGTGCTCAATTCCCGTGCCCCCTTGTGAATCTTCAGGGCAAAAGGTAGATGGTGTAGAGAATTCAACTGACAGGAATATAAGACTGCACATGAGCATGTCTGTTTACCTGCACTAGGACCTAAGTCCCAGCGGAACTGAGCTGAGTCTGTGGCATAATGATCAGAGCCAACATTTACTGAGGAATTCCTACTGGCCAGGGCCTATGCTAAGTACTTTACACACGGCCTCATTCACTCCTCACAATAACACTATGGTATAGGCATTACTAGACCCAGCATAGAATGAAACTAGCGGAGGTCCAATTAATAAACAAGCAAAACAATGCCTCCTCTATGTAATCTGGGAAGTGTTAAAAAGGGTTCCCTGTTCAAAAAAATACTTCTGTGAAAGGCCAGGTTAAAGCCTTAAAGTCCATAATACCCAGTAAATCCTTAAGGCTATATTGTTCTGTGAACATGGTGTGAGCCCTGATGGCTATTTATATCTTGGCATAAATGAATTTGGGTGACTTTTCCCTGAGAATGGTTCTTATAGGAAAATACAGAATATATAACACATAACTAGATATTAGCAATATACTTGGATAGCACACTTTAGGACACAAAAAGACTTTCACATATATCATCCCACATGATTCTAACTCTTAGAATGAGCAGGAAGCAATGAAACAAAAAGATGAAATTGAAGAATAAAAGGCAGTATTGACCCATTTTACGATTTTACCCAAAGTTCCCCCACTTCATTAGCACCAACCATCTTTAGTTTATTTGAAAATAAACTAAAAAGAGCTTCCAGAAATTAAAGATACATCGTTAAACTTAAAAATTCAACAGACTAAAGAGTAGATGTGACAAAGCATAAGAAAGGATTCAAAAATGTTTAAATATATGTTAAAAATTACCCAGGATGAAGTATGGCAAAAGAAATGAATAGAAAATATTAAAAAGATAAGAAACACAAAAGATAGAAGGGAAAGTTTCAACAGACATTTAATATGACTTTCAGGATGATTAAATAGAAAAAACAGTGGGCAATACTAGAAAGTTTTGAAAAAACAATGGTTGAACATTTTTCAAAATAAACAAAACACAAATCATCAGACTGAAGAAGTACTAATCTCCAGAAGTATGAAATAAACAAATCCATACACAGGTGAATAATAGACATTATAGACAAAAGCAACCAGAGAAAATTATCTAAACAAGACAGGCCACACTGTAATGAATACTGGATTTCCAAAAGCCTTCTCACTGACAACAAGAGAGACCATAATCACCAAAATGTAAAAAATTAAACTATAACCCTTTCAGAAGAAAACATGGGAGAAAATCTTGGCAACCTTGGGTTAGACAAAGAGTTCCTGGATACAGCCAAAAAACAAAAAATAAAAAACGAAGCCTCAAAACAATGTTAACAAATTGCACTTAACAAAATTTAAAATGTTTGCTTTTCAAAACACATGGTTAAAAGAATGAAAAGTCGGGGCCCCTGGGTGGCTTAGTCGGTTAAGCGTCCGACTTTCGCTTAGGTCATGATCTCACGGTTCGTGGGTTCAAGCCCCGCGTCGGGCTCTGTGCTGACTGCCAGCTCAGAGCCTGGAGCCTGTTTCGGAGTCTGTGACTCCCTCTCTCTCTGACCCTCCCCTGCTCACGCTGTCTCTCTCTCTCTCTCCTAGAAATAAATAAAACATTAAAAAAATTAATAAAAAAAAAAGAATGAAAAGTCAAGCTACAGACTAGGAGAAAATATTTGCAAATCATATATCTGAGAAAAGATTCTATCTGGAATATGTAAAGAACTCTCAAAAGTCAACAGTAAGAAAACACAATTTTTAAAGTTAGGCAAAAAAAAGAAAAAGAAAGAAGAAAATACCCTTTGCAAAAAAAGATACATGGGTTACAAATCAGCACCTGAAAACGCATTCATCATTACTAGTCATGAGGAAGATGTGAGTTAAAACCACAATGAGATACTACTATATACCTATTAGAATATAGCTCTTTTAAAAAACTAACAATATCAACTTCTGGCGAGGATGCAGAGCAGCTGGAATGCTCATATATTTCTCAAGGGAATGGAAAACAATTTTGCAATTTCTTATAGTTAAACACACCTAATACAACCCAGTAATCCAACTCACAGGTATTTACCCAAGAGAAATAAAAACCTACCCCCCCCACACACACAAATCAGTATACAAATACTAATAGCAGCTTTATTCATAATCACCATAACCTGCAAACAACCCAAATGTTGCTCAACATGTGAATGTATAAACAAACTGTGGTACACCCACACAATGGAACACTAATCATCAATAAAAAAGGAGTGAACAATTGATACATACAACAATAGAGGAGTCTCAAATGCACTGCTCCAATAAACAAAAGCCAGACTCTAAAGCTGCATACTTTTTAATTCCATTCATATGATTTTCTGGAAGAGGAAAAACAATAGGTACAGAGAAGAGATCAGGAGTTTCCAGAATTAAGAGTAAGAGAGATTGAGTAGGGACAAAGGAGTAGCATGAAGGAAGTTTTGAGGGGAGATGGCACTGTCCTATATCCTGACTGTGATGGTATCACTCTACACATTTGCCAAACTCAGAACTACACACTGAAAAAGAATAACTTTGACAGTGTATAAAAATTTTTAATTAGAAACAAAAGTCAATGGGTTACAATGTTAATAGTTAAGATTTCATATCATAAAATTAGAAATTCTCTCCAAATTCATTTATAAATTCAAAGTATGTTCAATCAAAAGTCCAAGAGTAATTTTCATGAGGCCTGAAAAACCAATCCAAAATACAAAAAGAAAAAAAGGTCAAAAATAGCTAAGACGGTTCTAGAAAAGAATAAGATGGAGAGACCCATCCCACCAGATAACAAGAAACATTTCACAACTAACAAGAGTTAACCCATGATAATGATGCAGGATTATATGAAACAAAACAGAGAGCTCAACTAGAAATGGTATTTTAACAAGTCACTTGCAGTTCTAAATGCATGTTAGAACCATCCAGTGAGATACATCTGCACAAGATTTAGACTGCAGACGTGAGGTAGAAGCCATCTTCCCAAGCTCCTGATAGGAAGTTGGCACGAAATCTCAAAGGCTGTCATCTCTGTATGTCTAGTCACCAGTTTTGTGGTTCTGAGGGACTGGTAGCAGTGTCAGAGGTAGTCAGAGAGCAGAAAGCTCTCTGGATTTTGGCCATTGACGTGTGACCTAGGAACAAACAATCCAAGGGAAGTCCCCTCCTATGATTCCCTTTCCTGCTGGCCTTCCACCGATGCCGGCCTTCCACTGATTTGAGAAACCAAATTTCTGTTATTGAATCCCTGTCTGCTGGATATACCTAGAGTGCTTTCTACTTCCTGCACTAAATCATAACAAACACTTTAAGAGTTCATAATGTAGAGTCTGGTCCATACATCAAAAGAATAAATGAGCGTGGATTCATGAGCTTGCAAAGATTGTTTTTTTTACCATAAGGTTTCAAATTTTTGCTTACCGCAAGCTTAAAACAACTAGTCCCATAGTGCAGATGAAAAAACTGATTCTTTAAAAAAAAAAAAAATCAAGTTTAGATATTTTAAGAAAAGAAAAAGAGGGGCGCCTGGGTGGGTTAGTCAGTTAAGCGTCCGACTTTCGCTTAGGTCATGATCTCGCGGTTCGTAAGTTCGAGCCCCACGTCGGGCTCTGTGCTGACTGCCAGCTCAGAGCCCGGAGCCTATTTCGGAGTCTGTGTCTCCCTCTCTCTCTGACCCTCCCCTGCTCACGCTGTCTCTCTCTCTCTCCTAGAAATAAATAAAAATACTGAAAAAAAAAAGAAAAAAAAGAAAAGAAAAAGAGACCACTAAAGAAAAGAAAAGGAAAATGGCCAGGTAAGGTACCTACTAAATATATATTATGTGATCTTTAACCCAAATTACATTTCTAAAATCACTGACACCTTTTGGTCAGTATCCGAAATCTATAAAGAACTTATCAAACTCAATACCCAAAAACCAAATAATCTAGTTAAGGAATGGGCAAAAGACATGAATAGACACTCTTCCAAAGAAGACACCAGATGGCTAACAGACACATGAAAAGATGCTCAATATCGCTTATCATCAGGGAAATACAAATCAAAACTACATTAAGATACTACCTCACACCAGTCAGAGTGGCTAAACATAAAACAACAGGTGTTGGCAAGGATGTGGAGAAAAGGGAACCCTCTTGCACTGTTGGTGGGAATGCAAACTAGTTCAGCCACTCTGAAGAATGGTAGGGAGATTCCTCAAAAAGTTAAAAATAGAACTACCCTATGACCCAGCAATTGTACTACTAAATATTTACCTAAAGGATACAAAAATACAGATTCAAAGGGGTACATGCACCCTGATGTTTATAGCAGCATTATCAACAATAGGCAAACTATGGAGAGAGTCCAAATGTCCACTGACTGATGAATGGATAAAGGAGATGTGGTAAACATACCTACAATGGAATATTACCCAGCTATCAACAGAAAGGAAATCTTGCCATTTGCAACGACATGGATGGAGCTAGAGTGTATTTTGCTAAGTGAAATAAGTCAAAGACAAATACCATATGATTTCATTCATGTGTGGAATTTAAAACACAAAACAGATGAACATATGAAAGGGGGATGAAGAGAGAAGGAAACAAATCATAAGAGACTCTTAAAGATAGAGAACAAACTGAGGATTGATGGAGGGAGGGAGATGGGGGATGGGCTAGATGGGTGATGGGTATTTAAGAGGGCACTTATGATGAACACTGGATGTTGTATGTAAGTGATGAATCATTGAATTCTACTCTTGAAACCAATATTGCACAGTATGTTAACTAACTAGAAATTTTTTTAATGTTTATGTATTTTTGAAAGAGAAAGAAAAACAGAGACAGAGTATGAGTGGGGGAGGGGCAGAGAGAGAAGGAGACACAGAATCCAAAGCAGGCTCCAGGCTCTGAGCTGCCAGACTGAGACACCCAGGCACCCCTAACTAACTAGAATTTAAATAAAAATTTGGAAAGAAAAAAGAAAGGATAGGACCCTAATCCAATAAGACTGGTGTCCTTAAAAGGAGGAGAAAAAACACCAGGAGTGTGGGAGCATGGAGACAGAGGCCCGGTGAGGACAAGAGAGAAGGTGGCCACCTGGAGGTCAAGGAGTGAGGCCTCAGGAGAAACCTACCCTCCTGGCACCTGGATCTTGGACTTCTAGTTCTAGAACCATGAAAAAATACATTTTTGTTGTATAAAAAAATTAAAATTAAAAAACAAAATGTCTGAAACATTTTCATATTAAGATTCAATGGTGGCACAGTTGATATTGGAGTACAAAGATCTCTTATAAAAAAAATGCTTACAAATGAGCATTAATAAAGCACAGCTGTGAACCTATAAGCCACACTCCAAAGAAAAATAAAAGAAGGATGGGGAGGAGGAGGTAAGGAAAGACACAGAATTTGCATATTAAATGGTCTAAAGGAAAATCAAAGAAGAAATCTGTGAGTGCTCCCAGAACACACCCTCTAAAGAGGATCCTGTAGGGGCACCTGGGTGGCTCTTTCAGTTGAGCATCCGAAACTGGCTCAGGTCATGATCTCCCGGTTCGTGGGTTTGAGCCCTATGTCAGGTTCTGTGCTGACAGCTAGCTCAGAGCCTGGAGCCTGCTTCGGATTCTGTCTCTCTCTCTCTCTCTCTCTCGCTCTCTGACCTTCCCCTGCTCACTCTGTCTCTCTCTCTCTCAGAAATAAATAAAGCATTAAAAACATTTTTTTTAATAAAAATAAAGAGAATCCTTTAGGAGCACCTGGGTGGCTCAGTTGGTTAAGCATCCGACTCCAGCTCAGGTCATGATCTCACAGTTCGTGGATATGAGCCCCACGTCAGGCTCTGTGCTGACAGCTCAGAGCCTGGAGCCTGCTTAGGATTCCCTGTCTCCCTCTCTCTCTGTCCTTCCCCCACTCACGCTTTGTCTGTCTACCTCTCAAAAATAAATAAACATTAAAAATAATAATAATAATCTAAAGAAGATCCCTTAGGTGGGATGATAACTACAGCCTTGGTTTATCAATTACTAGAGTTCAGGACAAGGACTTAAAATCATTTCTAAACAGCAAACTACCTTGAAGGATGCTGGTTCTGGTGAGAGCACCTCCAAAGAAGCATTTGAACCTATGCTCCCAGGACACGTTCTTGAACTCGAGGCTGGTTTTGAAATTCCATCTAAGTTTCCCTTTATAATATCCATCAATATACTGAAACAAACAAAAATTAAAGCAAGTTACATTTTCTATGTTTCAATGTTTCATTAGCGCTAAAGCGCAATTAACTCAGAACCTTTGTTAATAAGGATTACATTGCTACCAAAGTCACATTGCCCTAATTTCATCAAAAGACATCTGTGGCCACAGATTTTATGTTACTATAGGTGAGAAACATTCTGCCCAGGATGTTGGAAAAAAGAATACAGACTCACGGCTATCTCATTGGCTTCCTGTGCCTCTAGAAGAAACATTTACTTTGTCCTTGGCCTGAGAAGGCACTCGGGGAGCACTGGCCTCTCAACCTCGATTCACGCTTCATCGTAATGATTTATAAGGCCTCAACTGTCTTCTGGTTGTGCCTACCTGATTCAACCCAGCACTTCCTGTTCGGTCTCAGCTTTCAGCCAGGGCTTGCCCCTCACCTCTGATTTCTCCTCTCCCCTTTGGTGCCACATTTTCAAGGAGCACCTGTCTCCAGGTCACTGCTCTTTTTCTATCAATCCTCCACTTTTAAAACCCATGATTCTACTTTCGCCCTTGGAAACAAGAGAACAAAACCTACTTTCTCCGAGAGAGGACAGACACTTATTATCTGGCCACACACATTGCCGATTTCTATTCTTCATGTGACACCATCCGCTGGCCTGTCACCACTGTAGCCCCCTATTCCCAGCGCTGTTTTCTAAAGCAGGAAGTATTAGGCAGGATGGTTTAAACCAGGAGGAGACCAATGACATGGGAGGCGCGCTTGATCCTTCCAAACTGTGTCTTTGATCAGGACCATTTCAGATTTGCTCAGTGATGGTGGGGTATCATGCATGTTGAGAAAATGGAAGAAACAGAGAGAATGTCAGATTTCGCCTTGTCCTACTTAGCTTCACATGTAAACAGATCTTCCAACAATCCTTCCTTAAATTTCCTAATTTCACTGAACTTCGAACTATGAATTCAACCCATTTCTCTCATAACAGAAGGAGGGAAGGCACTTGGGCCTCTGGCCCAAGCAAGTGTAATAAAGTCCTTTTTTTTACTCTACAAAACGATTCACCTTTCTTTTTCTGACCGGCAGAGGGAGAGTCTCGGGAAGCTGTGGACACAGGAGAAAGCACAACCATAAACAACGCGATATTCCTCCAGGGCACACAGAGGGGTAATATGACTTGGCCTCCAACCATTCAGTGCGCCCAAGCCGATGCTTAAGGGACCAGCAGGTCAACTCTTTCCATCTTAGCAAATGAAAAAGGCATTGATCTCCACGTCATTCAAACTCCGCAAAAGGATTTGGGCTCACTGGGAAGGCGCTGACATTATTATTGTGAGATGACGGATCACCCTGGCCCATCACATCAGAATCAAAAAGCGTAAGTCACCAAAAGGCCAAATGTCTTGTAAATGCCATAAGCAGCCGGTCAAGGGAGAAGTACTGTCACCCACAGAGGGAGCAATGAGACGGAAGCATTTGCAGGGCCAGTATAATACCTGTCAGGAAGGGGTAAAGAGCACTGGGAACCGTCAATGACGGGGATCCGCCAAAAGGCTCCAGAAATCTTTCCATTCACTTCACTAACAGGTCTGTTCTATGACAGTTGCTTCGGAAAATAATAAATAACATACAGTTCTCAGGATGGGTGGGTATATAACTGACAATCTTATGACTTTGCCCATGTAGAAAAAAGTAATGGAGGAGGGGCACTGAGTTAGGATCATATAGATGTATGTGAGTGTTAAAGAAGAAAGCACAGTAGCTACATAGAAATTCCACAAGGAAAATAAAGCATTGTCAAAGAAAGTAATCAGATGATAATTAAATATTTATTACAGAAGCACTAAATGTTGATTTAACTAAATACAGTGTCTTGCCTATATTGAGTGTATGTGGGGAGGAATATGTAAAAGGAGAGGGAGTATAAAGTCTGTCATAATAGGAAATCAAAGCGAACATCCAAAAATTGATAAAGCCAAGCAATCGTTAAATAAACATAATATTTATAAGTTCATAATGGTTGGTTTTGGAGAGTGAGACTAGGAATTGCTTCTCTTTTCTTACTTTGTAAATGTTATAGTAGAGTTTGTCATTTTTTACTACACCACATTAGTAAAGGTAAAAATTGATTTTTAAAATAAAAAATAAATGTAAAATAAGAAATTCCCAAGGGAGTAGAAGAAAACATAAAGATAATTTATGTAATAATTAATGATTTATTAAATAAACATAAGAGTATAAATAAAAAGGAAGAGACTAATAGATTTGATTACATAACATTTAATGCTCTTGAATGGAAAACAAACAAAAGATAACTCTAAAGTAAATTAAAAGGCACCAAGAAACTGGGGAAAATATATGCAACACAGATGATACACAAAAGGTTAATGAATTTACATACTTAAAGAACTCTTACCAATCAGTAAGAAAAAGAAATATTCCAATAGAAAACTAGTTAAGGACATAAACAAGGAATTAAGAAAGAAAGAAAGAGAGAGAGAGAGAGAGGGAGAGGGAGGGAGGGAGGGAGGAAGGAAGGAAAAGAGAGAAAGGAAGGAAAAGGGGAAGGGAGGAAGGAAGAGAGGAAGGGGGAAAGGAAGGAAGAAGGGAGGAAGGAAAGAAAGAAAATATCTTGCTAAAAAAAAAAAAGTCTAATTCTCTAATTAAAGGAATATACAAAAATGGGCCTGAAAGATGATCACAAGTCAAGGAATTAACAGAGGTGGGTTCTTCTGGATTGGCGAATTCATGGATATTCTTGGTCTTTTATTTTACCCTTTGCTTACCTGTATTTTCAGTTTTTCTAATAAGTAGATCTTGAATTCATAATTATTTATTGTAGAAAAACTTCTAGAATATACTAAAGTATATTCAAAAATAAATAAAAATCAACCAATATTCACCACTCTGAGTTAAATATCATTAGCATATTACTTTTCCATTTTGCTTTGTATGTTTCCACCAAAACTGAACTCATATATTTCTCACTTAACATAACATCATGAGCATTTTCTTACTGCATTAAAAATATTTCAAAAATAAAGTATCATTAGGGGCGCCTGGGTGGCTTAGTCGGTTAAGCGTCCGACTTTCGCTTAGGTCATGATCTCACAGTTCGTGGGTTCGAGCCCCGCATCGGGCTCTGTGCTGACTGCCAGCTCAGAGCCTGGAGCCTGTTTCAGAGTCTGTGACTCCCTCTCTCTCTGACCCTCCCTTGCTCACGCTGTCTCTCTCTATCCTAGAAATAAATAAAAATATTAAAAAAAAATTTTTTTTTAAATAAATAAAAAAAGTATGATTCACTTCACGATATTCCTTTAAATGGATGATATATGGCCAGATTCCAAACTGTAACAAATCACTACTACCACATACCAACTTTTTATAACATTCATTTCAAACAAGATTAATTTAAACCTTTTCATACATGCTTGTGAGAAATGCAACCACAAAGGAATATTTAAAACCAAAATGGGGACACATGGCTGCCATAAATTGCTACTTTTGGATGAAAGGAAGAATTGAAAGAAAATGAATCCTCCTCTATTTAGTAATAATAAATAGCCAGGCTTTTTTTTTTTTAATGGAATTATATTTATTTGCATGAGTTTAATGTCTAAAAATTATTTTATGGTATATCTCTTTTTACTTTATGCATTTATTATGTAAGAAATACTTGTCCATGAAAAGAAAAAAGTCAAATAATACAGAAGGATATAAAACTTATTTTTAACTTTTTTAAAAATTTCATTTGAAAGAGAGATAGAGAGCAAGTGGGGGAGGGGCAGAAAGAGAGGTAGCTGGAATCCTAAGCAGGCTCTGCGCTGTTAGCTCAGAGCCAGATGCAGGGCTGAGCTCACAAACCATGGGATCATGACCTGAGTCCAAGCCGAGTCTCCGGCACTTAACTGACTGGGCAACCCAGGCGCCCCAGAATACAAAACATTTTAAAGTTAAAGTTTCCTGAGCACCTGAGTGGCTCAGTCAGTTAAGCCACCCACTCTTGATTTGGGTTCAGGTCAGGATCTCAACAGTCTGTGGGATCGAGCCCCTCATCCGACTCCACACTTAGAGCGGGAACCTCCTTGGGATTCTCTCTCTCCCTCTCTCCCTGCCCCTCCCCTGCTTGTCATGCCCAGGGTCTCTCTCTTTCTCTCTCAAATAAACATTTAAAAAAAAAAAATGAAGTCAAATTTTCCCTCACCCCAAGAACCACTATTAGTAGATGGGGAGGGGGGGAGGGCTCACGTTTTTTAGGTATATGCAAACCTATCCTTTTTACCTACCTACTCCTCCCGAACACAAACACACACAAATGGCACACACACAACTGCAAGTTAACTTCTTTGTATGAATCTTTCTTAGTTCTGTTTATATACCCAGAAGATAAACTACGCTGAGTCAAAGAATTCTTGTGTTTCAAACTTTGGTAGGATGCCACACTGTCCACCAAAACGTTTGTACCAAATTACACTACTATCAACAGATGAAAGTTCCTCTTTCCCCATTCTGGTGTGGGGTCAATCTGGTTATCGTCTTTGTCAATCTCGTAAGTGTCAAAAGTATCTGTGAACTTGATTTACATTTCTTTAATTACGAGACTAATTGAGTCCCCAATCAAGTGTTTACTGGCCACCTTTTTCTTTGTCCTGTGACATGCGTGTGTGTGTGTGTGTGTGTGTGTGTGTGTGTGTGTGTGCGTGTGTGTGTATCCTTTGCTATTTATGGCCTATTTTAAATGACTGGCAATTTTAATTATAACTTTTAATTTTTTTAATGTTTGTTTGTTTCTGAGAGAGAGACAGAGACAGAGCATGAGTGGGGGAGGGGCAGAGAGGGAGACACAGAATCTGAAGGAGGCTCCAGTCTCCAAGCTGTCAGCACAGACCCAACACGAGGCTCGAACTCCAGGATAGTGAGATCACGACCTGAGCTCAAACAGGAGGCCCAACCGACTGAGACACCAAGGTGCCCCACACTTTAGATCTTAAGGAATAGAAGGCACCGGACGACAGGAGTCCTTGATACGAAGACTTTAGGTCGGGAAAGTTTGCCGCTGGGTCCAGGAAATCCTGGGGAGTCTTCGTAGAGGTAGAGGCCTCGGTGGCGGGACGGCGGTGCCTCCTAGGCCCCGCCCAGCCCGGCTGAGCCCGCCCCCTACCGGCCCTGCCTCCTCGCGCTAACAGCCAGTCTCCGGGCCCACTGGCTTGACACGACTCCGCCCTGCCCTCTCATTGGCCCTGCCCCTCTCCCTGCCCGCCCAGGGGCTGTCCCTGACAGGACACCGCCTCGCTCACTCTTCCGCGAGTCGCGCGCCGTTAAAGGTGGGGCCCTAACAGGTGCGGTGCCTTACCTTCCCGGTGGAAACTCCGGGAGCCAGTCCCCAGGCAGCAGACCGTTGACGGGCGCAGAAGCGCACAGGCTGACACTCAGCGTCACCCCCTGTCCTTCAAAAGGGAAGGTTCTTTCCCGTCACCACAGCTTTTCTGGAAGGGGAAGGAGCTGCGTGTCCAAAGCCCTCCTGCCTCCAGGAACGCGGTTCCCCTGGCAACCAGAAGCACGAAGCTTCCAGTCTCGCGATAAGAGAAAAGGGCTGTACCATGCGGAAATGAGATGTGGGGGTCAAGGGCGACGAGGAAAGCTGAGGGAAGTCCGGGAGTGGGCCAGTCCTGCTGTTTCCTCCGTCTGTCCGACGACTGTGTGGCTAGGGAATGGATCGCTCGTTTTTTACACTGAACTCAGAAGGAGGATGTCTGGATGCTTCTGTGGCTCTCTACCATGAGTATGAAGCTCTGTAGGTCTGGCATCCTCTCTGAGCTCAGTTTCCTCCTCTGTAAAATGGGAATGACAGTAATTCCTCACAAGATGGTTGTGCAGCTCAGAAAGATTATGTACATGAAGTTCTTGCTGAATTTTGGATTCCATGTAAATAAAAACACTAGTTTTGCAAAATTGGGCTATAGTCCAAGAGTAATGATTTTTATTCGCACTTTCTTGTGTGTGTGTGTGTGTGTGGATTCTCTCATCCTCGGCGCATGAAGACTATTTCCATAGATCCCCCAAACTGATTTTCTTCATGCCCAGAACCATCAAACTTCTGCTTTGTAGTATAGACAGCACTTTATACAGTTTACAATGCATTTCCCCGTACACAGCCCCTTGAGCCTCGTTATTTTAGGTAGGTAGGATGTGTATTCTTTAAGTGTTTTGCAGTGAAGCGAAAGGACAAAGGTAAAGTGAGCTGGTGAGCTACACACAGCTGACCATCTAGGGCGGTGCTGGGTTTCAAAACCTGGCTGTAAATGCCACCCGTATACTGTTAAATCCTGCGATTCTAGCTCCAACCCAGACTTCTCCCCTGAGGTCCACACTTTTATCCAACTGACTATATGACATCTCCACTTAGATGTAAGAAGCATCTCAAACCTAACATGTCAAAAAACAAACCTCTCCACAGTCATCCTCACTGCCGCTCCACCCACTTATCTATCTCAGTAAATGGTAACTCCATCTTGCCAGGCTCAGACCAAAAACCCTTGAAGTCATCCTCAATTCCTCTTCCTCTCACTCTACAATCAATTTGTTATAAATCCTATCAGCTTTACATTAAAATATATCCAATATCTAATGACCGCTCACTACCTTCTGGGCTTCCATACTGGTCTGTACTGCCTTCGCTTCTCACCTAGATCTTTGCAACAACTTCTTCCTATCTGTTGCCTCCCTTGCCTCTACTACTTTCACACAGCAGCCTGAATGATGCTTTCAAAACCAAAGGCAGACGACGTCACTCCTCTGCTCAGATCTCTCCATGGCTCCCCTCTTTCATGCAGAGTTTTTAGAGTGCCCACAGGTCCAAATGAACAGGCTCTGTGTTTTCTCTCAGACTTCCAATCCTACGACCCTCTCCCTGGTAAAATTTGCTCTAGCATCATCATCCTTCTTGTTAGCGTTTCTGCGCAGGAATTCCTTCCCAGCATTTATCAGGAAATGTGTATGTTTTTCCAAATTAAAGAAAAAAGTTGAGAAATCAGGAAAAATAGAAGAAGTATATTCTAATTCTCCTATGAAAATTAAACGTTATCCATCAACATAGATGTGCTACTGAAGAAATCCCCTGATGTCAAGGTGAAAGCAAAAGCAGGAAATGCAAACACTGTATCAGAAGTTAAGGTCAACATTCTCAGAACCTGGGTGGGAACATGTCACCATTAGATTTGTCAGTCTTGCGTGGAGCTGGTGCGAAGTTCCACATGTGTGTTCCTGGCCCTGTCTGCTGCTGTCATTCTCGCAAATAAAATAAGTATTAATAAGTTGATACTCATGTTATACTTCATACAAATTCTATGAATTGTGTTCCAAGAAATAGCAAGTTTTGACTCAAAAATGAGTCCTTAAACTGGAGACTCCCACCCTGCAATTCTGTGAAATGCTGTTAACCTCACCTGAAGATTTGTACGTTACATTATTCAAACGATACCCAACAATGTTCTCTGTGTTCTCCAGTATTTGGATATTTGAATATTTACTATAGGCCACAGTTCTTGTAACTATTTGTAAACACTCTTATAAAAGTGATTCAGATAGCATGATAACAAGAATATGAAGAAGGTTGAAAATATTTTAAGAATAACTTAAGGTTTTGAGAATTGCTGGCAATTTTGACTTCTTGTTTCTGTCTCCCAAAGATCAGTATGTAGGGAATTTGGAATACTATTTCTTGTTGTTATTCCTCCAAAATGGAATAACTTCCCCAGTATCCCCCCTCTTCCCGCGTGCACACATACACACACGCGCGCACGCACGCACACTCACACACACACACACACACACACACACACCAGCCCTCTCCTTCCTTTGCCAGGACTACAGTTGCCCAAGTATCCACATGACTCACTTCCTCTCTTCCCTGAGGTGTTTCCTTCCTCAGGCAAGTCTTTCCTGACCACCCTATGTAAAATAATAATCTCCTGTTCCATACTCCCTATCCTCTGTTCCCTTGACTCTGTTTTGTTTGCTTTGTTTGTTTGTTTGTTTGTTGTTGTTTTATGTAAGGAGGAGAGATGACATCATATGGATTCTGATACCAAATAGCTGGGCTATCTTACATATATCTGTATGCTCTTGTGAGCCATAATTTCTTCACTTGAGATATGTGGACTAGTTTTTGTTGCTGTTGTTGTTTCAAAAAAATTTTTTAATGTTTATATTTGAGAGAGACAGAGCATGAGTGGGGGAGGGGCAGAGAGAGAGGGAGACACAGAATCCGAAGCAGGCTCCAGGCTCCGAGCTGTCAGCACAGAGCCCAACTCAGGGTTTGAACCCATGCACCGTGAGATCATGACCTGAGCTGAAGTTGGACAGTTAACCGACTGAAGCACCCAGGGGCCCCAAATGTGGACTCGTTTTGCAATTCTTACCTCTAGTGCGTTAGAATCCCTTGGGGAGATTTCATAAACTACTGATTGTGGGGCTGTATCTGAGAGCCAATGAACCCAAAATTCTAAGGCTTCTCAAACTTTAATGTGCAGATAAATCAACTGGGGCTCTTGTAAAAATGCTGATTCAATGTTGTCAGGTGGGACCCAAGATTGTAACAGGCTCCCAGGTGATGCCAATGCTTCTGGTCCCCCGACCACTCTCGGAGCAGCTAGACAGGAAACAGACTCCAAGTGTCCGCACAATTGTAATATTCTGTGAATAAAGGCCATCCTTTCCATTTTTATTTTTGGTGACTAATGGTGCTCATTAAGAGAATAACATATTTCAGGGGCTCAATCGGTTAGGTGACCAACTTCAGCTCAGGTCATGATCTCACAGTTCGTGAGTTCCAGCCCTGCGTCGGGCTCTGTGCTGACAGCTCAGAGCCTGGAGCCTGTTTCAGATTCTGTCTCTCTCTCTCTCTCTCTCTCTCTCTCGCTCTCGCTCTCGCTCTCTCTGTGCCCCTCCCCAACTCGTGCTCTGTCTTTGTCTCTCAAAAATCAATAAATGTTTAAAAAAAATTTTTAAGAGAATAATATACTTCAGATTTCTTGGGGATGTGGGAGAAAAACCCACTTAAGAAAAATCAAGGTTATGACCCATCTGCCTTTCATTCTTTTTTAAACTGTTGCTTTTAAAATATATACAAAGAAGATACCTAAGAAGCAAGTGAAAAGAAAATTAAGGTTCAATCAAAACAGTGTCTCTTCGCTGTAACTTTACCAAACAGGAAACTCATCTTGCTTTCTGTCATTCTCACTTTCTTTATTTACCTCCTGCTACTACCTTTTGCGAACTGCAGAGAGGCTGTATCCACCTTGAGGGCAGATTTTAACAAGTTGTATATGTTGTGTGTTAGTACACGATATGCTGTGTCTCTGTTGTTAATTTCCTGACTTCTGTGTCAGCTATTGCGGGTGATACCATTAAAACGGTTCACATTCAGATACGCCAAGGAGCACCCTATTTTTCTATACTGTTTTCTGAAGTGTTGTGTTCAAAAAGGAGACAGGGACACCTGCGTGGCTCAGTTGGCTAAGGTCATGATCTCACACTTCCTGAGTTCCAGCCCCATGGGGCTGTGTGCTGACAGCTCGGAGCCTGGAGCATGCTTCTGCTTCTGTGTCTCCCTCTCTCTCTGCCCCTCCCCTGCTCACACTCTGTCGCTCTGTCCCAAAAATAAATAAACATTAAACTTTTTTAATTTAAAAAAATTTTAGGGGCACCTGGGTGGCTTAGTCGGTTAAGCGTCCGACTTTCGCTTAGGTCATGATCTCGCGGTTCGTGGGTTCGAGCCCCGCGTCGGGCTCTGTGCTGACTGCCAGCTCAGAGCCTGGAGCCTGTTTCGGAGTCTGTGACTCCCTCTCTCTCTGACCCTCCCCTGCTCACGCTGTCTCTCTCTCTCCTAGAAATAAATAAAACATTAAAAAAAATTTAAAAAAAAATAATAAAATAAAAAATAAAAAAATTTTAGAAAAACAAACAAAAAACACAGACATATTCTAGAAGGTATTGTGCCTTTCAATAATTGATGAAGATTTCTTCTAGAGTCAAGATATTTTAAGTTAAAATGGCCCTGTCTCATTACAGGGTGGTGACCTATAGCCACACTGGTTTCAGAGTTGGTTTGCATTTTAAGTCTCTCTCTACTCTTCACCTTCTCCTGCTAAGTGGAGTCAGATTTGAATGAATGACAGAGAGCTCACATTGTGTTCCATCTGGGTCCCATCTGCCATTCCACCTTTGTTCCCCCAATTTTCCTTTTCTTACCATAAGCTTCAGCAAAATGTGACAGCACACTAGGAGTGGAACCTCATTAAGCCTCATCTCATACATACCTATCATACATTCTATAAACTATAGACTAAATGGCCATTTCTTTCGGAAAGCAGTTAAAAACATGTGCCACTGGACAGCTGCCATATCCTGTGAGTTTATGGCTCAGTGTTATTTAAAAATAACATTTACTGAGGATTTGGGACATAACTTAGATGTATCATCTCACTTCATAACATCCTATGAGGGGGCACTATTATTATGCACAT